CACATGATTAATTTAAGTGTTATAAATACAGGTATTAGATATTTCCCATAGAAAACAAGAGGTATTTTCATTTTTCTAATTCTTTATTTCGATATTCACAGGACAGCGCGCTGGGTGCTCACGTGAACACCGTAGTTGTGCAACATGACGATGACCTCATATTCCCGGGTGACCTCGCCTTCGCCCTCAGATGCCATGACCAGGTCAACGTCAGCGCCTCCATGGAAGGGTAAGCTTCTTTCCATTATGGAATTTGTTGTGTGTATATTTATTTCATTTAATTAAAATGTATGAACACGTGATTATGAAGGTTTAATGTTAGGCTTTTAGTAAGTAGTGATATTGATACTTTCCAATAGTAACTATTTCGATATTAAGTTATATCAGCTCCTCTGAATTGAAAAAAAATCAAGATTGCACAGCCTTTGCAATAAGAATAATTGCAAAGCATGTAAACAACCTACTTTCCATAATTAAAGAGAATGGGGTGATATGAATGAAAGTTAAAACCACAACCTTCACTCTAAGCTGTTCAGAGATATAAAATAAAGAGATATAGTAATGGAGATACAATGTAATAAAGATAAGATATGATGAAGATATCAAGTAATAAAGATAGACGATAATAAAGATAGACGATAATAAAGATAGACGATAATAAAGATAGACTATAATAAAGATAGAAGATAATAAAGATAGACGATAAAAAAGATAGAAGATAATAAAGATAGAAGATAATAAAGATAGATGATAATAAAGATAAAAGATAATAAAGATAAAAGATAATAAAGATAAAAGATAATAAAGATAGAAGATAATAAAGATAAAAGATAATAAAGATAAAATATAATAAAGATAGAAGATAATAAAGATAAAAGATAATAAAGATAAAAGATAATAAAGATAAAAGATAATAAAGATAGAGGATAATAAAGATATCAGGTCATTCGTAAACCATTTCTTTCAAAAACTAAACAGAATAAAATGTGGTATAGGATTTTCATCCCACGGGCTCACTTTCGCTCTCAACTCCCCAGGGTGAAGTCCAAGATCACCCTCGTGGACCCTGATCCTGGCGCCAAGGAGGACTCGAAGGACGACCTCTCTGCCACGTCCTCGTCTCGGGTCGTGACCTTGAGCCCGGCCCGCCCATCGCCGCCCAAGGAGGAGCTATAGCGGAGCCCCAGAAGCAAGGAGAGGTGCCGTCGGTCGTGCAGGCGGGCGTGAGGATCCTGGCGCGCGTTTTCGGGGAGAGGGTGGGAGTGTGGGGGTAGAGGGGAGGGAGTGGGAGTGGGGAGGGAGTGTGGGGGTTGTGGGGAGCGGGAGAAATGGGGAGGGAGTGTCGGGAGTTTGGGAAGTGGGGAGGGAGTGACTACAGGAGCGGGGAGAGGTCGAGGAAGTGTACGTGGGGAGGCCAAAAAAAAAAAAAAAGAAGGGCGGAGAGGGAGGAAGTGTGGGCTGAGCAACCCCCACCCCCCCACCCCCGCCCGGCCTCTGATCATAGACTGACCCGTTGCCCCTTCCAGCAGCGACCGCGTGAAAGGGAGTGTGAAGGGGCGGTGTCTTGATTCCTTCGGCTCTCTCCCCTCATGTCACTTCAGCGCCCCCTTCCTTCCCCTTCCGAGTGGAATGCACACGCGAGAGCACTTCCCGGCGTCCGTTGCAAGGTGGAAGCTAAGGGAAGTTGCAGAGTATGAGCGTTGTTTTATTTTGCAAGATTGATCTCATAAAAAAGTAGTGTTGGTGAGGTGAGACTCCTTCCCCCCATTTTTGCTCGTATGTTGTTTTTTTCTTCTTCGATAATTCTCTTTTTATCCATTTCCTTCTGATCGTCCTTCCCTTCCTCCTTTATTCTCGTTCTTCTCTTCCTCACCTCCAGGAGGGTGAAATCTTTAAAAAAAGGGGGTAGTAATTTAACAAAGCCAAATATTCTTGTGGTATGAAAAGAAATCTCTGTTTATCGTTCACTTCGTCTTGTTTTTATTTTATACTGTACCAAATTTAGAAATTCTTCCCATTTGCCAAATGTTATGTGGAAAAAAAAATAATGACCTGGTGCTTTAATGCCATTATATTCCCTTTTCGTTTATCATCTTCACGAATGTCTTTCCTCGCCTGGTTTCTTCCTGGTTTCGAATTGGAACAAGAAAACGAGAGGGTTTTCGAAGAGGGGTGAATATACTTCGTTATTTGCAGCTTCAGAATCGCCATTTTCTACGCGAAAGACCTTGAAGCCTCAATAAAAAAAAGTAAAACAATGGAGGGTCTGTCATCTTTAATCATTTTTAACTTTTTTTAGGGACGTACTTGTCGCTAAATTATATATTTTTGACAACGGAATCTTCAAAACAATTGATTGTTTTTTTAGGTATCTATGAAAGATGATGAGATGACGTTAAAGTTTATTAATAACTGACCGAAATAGAAGCATTCAGGTACTAAACTATGTTTTTTATAGTTTAGTAAAAGCTGGTTATGGGTGACATTTATGTAATAGCAA